TGACGAATAAAGTTTTATACAAAGCATCGTCAACTTTTCAGAAAAATAAAACAACAGATTTATCAGCAAGTAAAGTCCTATAGAAAAAATGGTCAAAATTCGAAAAAAATAAAATAGCAATTTTACTAGCGAGTAAATTTTTTTACATATATGTATTTGTGTAATAGTTAGTATTCCGAAAATAAATCGTCGGAGACCACTCATAGGATGAGGTGTTTATGTACCCTTGTTAAAAAAATTATACTCGACGATATTACAGGTTGACACACATAAATAAGGCTCTTACAACATCGTCAGTTCGTCACTGCATTTTTACTGTAAAACAACACAAAATCGTTATTCGTTCTATAGTAATGAAAATTATTTGATACATTTTTACTTATGTGATATTTAATTTTTCGAAACTTTGAGAGGCTGTAGTACTACGGTGCAGGGTCCATGTGTCACCGTACTGTCGTTCGGATAAGGAAGAAGATAAGTCACCGAATCCACATGGACTTCTTCTAGAACCATTTTATCCACAATAATTTTTATTCTCAATATTATAAACGAGATATTTCGTACAGTTTTTATTGGAAAAAAAAAACAAATAATGATCAAATTCTTTACGGCATTTTACATAATTTAATGCGTTTACACATACAAAAATATGAATAATAAATTTGGATGAAAATTGTGTGGTCCAATCCATATATGGAGAAATTAACTATTAATAGACATTTGGATGTTTTTATTTTAATAGTGTGATTTTGATATAATAATTTTAAATATCTATATTGGCCGACGGATATAGAGAAGTGAATGATTAGTAAGACTTTTGAATGATTTTATTCAATTAAGATTTGACATAAGAATTTAATTAAAATTGCCATATTAGCCGACGTATATGGGGAAGTGAACTATTAGTAGACTTTTGAATGGTATTTTACTCAATGTGATTTTGATATAAAAATTTAATTAAAATTGCCATATTATCCGACGTCTCAGATTGTTGTTAGACATAAAAATTCCAACAAACCTTAGGCATTTTACATAATTTTATGCTGTTTACATATGTCGATATATTTTAGTTATCATCCGGAATCTCAAATTTAGTAATAGTTATAAATTTTAAAGTGCCTAATATTCTTGTGTGATGCAAATTAAATAAAACTAATACTTCTAGTCAAATACTATGTACAGACTTGTCTAGTGTCCTACTGTCTGCATATATAAAACCACTGTTTCCTCAATTCACATATTTTACTGTATTTTTGTTTTGTTTTGTTTGTTCTCGAAAATATCAAAGAATAAAGAAGTGATATAAAATTATTTATTCTTATAGAAGAAGATAATTATGTAAGGACCGTGTCTTATCTCCTATAAAAGGCTCTTGCCACTTCCCTTACCAATCGCATCTTCTTGAGTGTATCTTCATACAAAAGTTCATATAATCTATCAAAATCACAGTATCTTCTTCTCCTTCTTCATTCTCTGTTTCAAGAAGCTTCTAGTTCTCGTAAGTCGCTAAGAAAACGAAATTATGGTACTGTCAGACAAGAAATCAGGGGATTTTCAGAGTCGTCGAGATTTGATCCCTGGATTACCAGAGGAATTAGCAATGGAGTGTTTGGTTAGAGTTCCGTTTCAGTTTCATTCTTCAATGAAATCAGTTTGTCGGACATGGAGAAGCTTAGTTTCCGACCGTTCTTTTAACAGAGAACGACAAAGATTTGGTAAAGCTGAATCTCTTCTCTGTCTTGTTCAACCTCTGACTTCTCCGTCTCCGATGATTGACGGTGAGACTAGT